AGAATTAAGAATGATCAAATTTAGAAAGACTCATCATTACCATTCATTTTTATGTCTTATTCTTTATCAGCAACTTTTTCACGTATTATTTCTTTTAGATGCATTTTATCACAATCCAGCAAATCAGTTAAAAAAAGAAAACCCTCACTAAAAATACAATTATTTGAAAACTAAGAAGAGGAAATACAGAAAAAAGATAATTAAAGTAGAATCTCTGCTGCTCTTTCCACATCAAAAACAAAAATTACAGAAAAATTCAAATGTAATTTGTTTGGCTTGATAGTTGACCGACTGTCATGAAGAGAATGCACAAAACACAGCAACAAAAWGAGAAACTATAAAATGATTTTAAAGTATTACTTCTGGGGCTGGATAAACTAGTATATTTTTTCTTTGTATTCTGGGAAACTTATGACTTWATTCTTAGTTATCCTTCATATACTGTCAAACTTCAGTTTAATATTTATTTATCTACTTGCTGTTGGTAAAGTATGAACCAACAAAGCCATTTTTTGGTTAAATAGATTGTGACTTGTGCTTGATCTCTTGTCCGTCATTGAGTTGGGTGTTGGCAAAATGCCTAAAATGCAAACCAATAGTTAAAGATAAKGTTTTTTAACCAAACAAACCTGTAATAATGGAAGTGTGTGTTGTGCAGGACTGAGTGTTTTCTTCCATACTCCAAACAACAGCAGGTGATTCCAATGATTAGTTCCTCCGCTTGGGTTAATCACTGCAATTACTGCACCACTGAGCCAGCAGAGAGGCCTCATCTTAAGGTCTGTCTTTTTTTTACCTTCTTTTTTTAATGAAATCTAATTTAATTAGCACTTTTCCTGGTGCTATTAGCAGGTAAACCACAGGTGAAAAAAAAACCTGTGATTAAAGATGTCCCGAACGCACGGCAGTGGCCCACTTTTCTTTAAGAACTCTACATGTCAGTACAGATTATTAAAATGAACACCAATTTACTGTCATGGTGATGCAGTGAAACTAATCAGCTTGTAGAGTAATGTTTCAAGTAAATATATTATTAAAAATATAGAAAATACTATGAGACAAGTCAAATAAAGAAGTCATGAGACTTTTAAAAACATGTTTTTCTCTAGGAAAAATGGTCTTGGGTTTATTTTTTATTTTTTTTTTGTAGAATAATTTAAAAGATTTGGTTTGCAGTCAGTGTCGGTGCAGAACTTCAAACTTCAAACTCTGTAAGCTACAGGGAGAATCAGACAGCCAGCCAGCCGGTTAGACACAAACTAGTCCATCACGTACCCAGAAGACCACAGACCGGAGCAAAAATCCTGCTCTGTGGAAGAACTCCACAGCTGCTTCCACACACTGTCCACACAGGTCCTCAAGCGAAACTTTTTGTTTTTTAATAGCTCTATCATTTTCAACAATCCCACAGAACAACTCTTTCGTCATTTTCCTTCTGCAAAATAGCAGAAAACAGAACCAAGCAGCAAATTAGAACCATTTTTTTAAATTCTGTTGCAGTCCAGTAAAAACCACACTCCTCACTTAGTGCAGCACCTCAAACCAGCCATCCAGTCAGCCGGTGAACCCATCAGACTGTTGAGTTTTGTGCTCAGGGAGCATGACAGTGTTTCAACACACCAATTACAGTGAGACAGTAGTAAAGCTGTTTGTTAGCCTGGCACTCCGCCACGCTATAAGTACCACTATCGATTGACAGGGAGAGACAGCGGGCGCATGATGAGAGGGAACACAGAAGGGATAAAGATGCAGAAAGAAAGACCCCCCCCCCCCGCAAAATAAAAAATACTGCTGACATAACCATACATACAGTCATGATGCAACTGTTTATTATTATTATTTTTTGCATCTGCATTTGTGAGGCTGTATTACAGAGAAGACTGAGATAAAAGTGTCAGGTCCTTTTTTTCTGATCTATGCTCTGATTCTCCTAATTATCACAGTWTGACAGTTCAGGAGAGGAAGGAAAGGTTGGGAAACAGAAAGGGAGGGAAAAACTGCAGAAAGTTGGGTTGAGCTTTCTAATGCATCTTTTCCAGCTTGTTGCTTGTTTATGAGAGTATGAGGCCAAAAACCTAATGGAACCCCAATACTTTTATTTACTCTTAAAAAGAAACCACAAAAATCAACAGGTTTATAGCAGACAAAAATAACGGCATGGCTGTGATGCACTTAAGAATGCAATAAACATAATGTACCACTGAGTGTAAGTGTATAGATCATCAGATGCTTGAATACACTCATTTCAGAGTGACAGCACACAAATGTATTATTCTGTTATGTACAGCTCAAACCTGCAAACAACATGTGATCCATTACAAAGTCAAAATTTGCTTTTCTAAAATATACATAAATGCATGGTGGGCACATTTCCGCTCATCCGCTAACCCCGCTAAATGCGGAACTAACTTTTTGTTGAGCGTTTGAATTAACTTTATAAATTATTAACAGACTTCGTATCGACTAAAATAATATGTGTTACTGTTTTTGTCCACTGACAAGCTTAGAAAACATGTAATTAATGCAAAGATATTGAGTTTTACATGCAACAACGACATGCTTAACAATGCTCTGCTATGGGCAAAAAACAAGCAATGCAGTTCCCACAGAGTCAGAAATTTACACTGGATGTGGTTCCGCTCTGACCTCCGCAGCAAATACGCATGAAATACSAATGAGAGTATTTACACTGCCCTCGCACGGTGGCGGACGGCGATCTGCCAAAATTAGATTCAATCCTATTTTAGCCGGACGCCGGAGAGGCTTCCATAGTTRATCTACAAAGATCACACCACACTAACAGGAAAAGGAATGAGCACAACATCTGCATTTTCAAAAYAATTCACAAAAGGCAGACTAATTTTGTTGAAGTCCAAGCTATATTATCCTAGCTATATTAATAACTACATGGGTATATTTACACACAAATGATGTCAAAATGTATCTGTTTGGGAAGCAGATTGCAACATRTAGCATGCAGAATATGCAAAAACACACAATACACATGGATTTTATTTTGAAATCACAGGTTTCAAAAAGACAACAACGATGCTAGCCTGGCCCTTGCCTTCCAACGCAGCTCCGCTCAATTCTAGTTTCCCTTCTCTGCTCTGTCTGGGACTTCTCCCATTGAGATGGATTTCACTGGCAGATTTTTAGCCGGGCCAATCAGAGAACAGAACGTCAATTTTCTGCGCAGTGTCTGCTTGTAGTTTATTTTACCTGGGCCAATCAGCAAACAGAAGGCGGAGTTCTGAACGACGTGGATTTTCTGTGCAGTGTCTGCTAGTTAGTTTAGCATAGGCAGTGGAGGAAGTGAATGAAGCCAGTCCGTGTTGATAAGGATTCCAAATTTAATTAAATCTGTCTGACAAAGCAGCAGCTCTTATTTACAGCCGTCTCATTCGGCTTGGTATATTTCTCCTCTCAGTAGGGTTGTTTACAGCACATGCGATTTCCGGTTAGCTTCTTAGCTTAGCCTCTGTCACAGCGACAACACATACATGCTTCAGCAGAGGCCACGCCTCCTGCAAGAAATCGATTCTCTGTGCATCAAGTCCAGACCCTTGTACGAAGCAAAGTGAAGGACAGGGTCTGGTTTGAACCAGGCTACAACGATGCCGTTTCAGCTGTGTTTGGAGTCCGTCTTCCACAGAATGAATCCTTTCGCTCTGAATTCCACATTTACCACAGGATTCAAGAAAACAACATCAAGAAAAACCAAAGTCCACACTCAAAACTAATGTAAAAATCCACAAAGATGTATTCTTACAAGTTTTCCCAGCATCYTTTGCAGCTGGGATGTTTGTTGCAAAATATTTAAAAGTGAAACGAAGACACATCTTTGCTTTAATCCGAGGCACACGAGTATTTGTTCTTTTAGTGTTAATAATGTTGAAATATAGGAACTAAATTTGCAGAAACATGAGTTTAAATGCTGTAATGTGTCACTGCCTTTTTCTCCCCTCCAGTCAGCTCAGTAGAATTGTAGCTCCGCCTCCTSGCTTTACTGAAACAAACTATTTCTGCAAACCTCACGTCTAATCAAGACATGAAAGTTTTTATCTTTGATCTATAAAACATTTTGAGTTGTGTTGATTTACTTTGTCACATTATACTCTCAGGTTTTGTTTGACATCTGTGTTGAAGTTTTGTTATTGACTGTAAAACGGACACCGTGACTTGGTGGTGGGGTGCTGAACAGTAAAAGCCATGTGCTAACACAACACACTCTTCTTGCTGACACGTAAAGGAACAGATGCTTATACCTCAAATATTAGCGGTATTAGTCTTCCTTCAGTTTTTGGTCTGTTTAGCTTATTATTGTTAGTAAATTATATAGCTGTTTAGACGTTTTCATTAGTTGCAGACACCACTGATGAAATGGTCTCAATAAATCGGGTCAAATATGGTACTTGTGACAGCAAAAACTAAAGTTATGTGTTAAACTTTTGAGAAGATAAATCACTATTTTTGGCTTCATTTAATCAGCCTTCCTCTCTCTTTAATGAAAGAAAATTTACATTATTAGTCCACAAGGAAAGCACATAATGAGAAGCAACATTGAAAACAATGTAAGTGATTAAAAGTTTAATTCATTGCATTCAAAAGCAAACATGTGCATTATGCTTAAATGCATTGCATATTACTTAACACATAAAAAGGTTTTATTCATGTATTTTTCGAATGTTTTGACCCTGACACGTATTTAGAGTCGGGCTTTTTTTGTTTGTGTCTGCAGCGCTCGCATCATTACCGCAGACCTTTGATTAGTTACCGCTTTTATAGTCAAGAAAAAACACGAAGCGAGTTTGTCTGCTCTTTGAATACAGTTTAAATAATAAATATAAATGTCTCCTTATTTCTGTAATTTTGCATTTATGGTAGCGCTCCCTGCAAACGCGGCTTATTTCTATTACTTTGAAGAGCGCATGTCTCCAACACACGGCGTACTTTAAGTTTGATGTTCCAGTGCAGTCTATAAAACATTTAATACTCACAGCCAGCAGTATCTGCAGTGAGGAATGAGCCACTTCTATGAACTGAAAGTCCAGCAGGCAGCCAGATATAGATATATATCGGTGGTCCTCGGGTGCCCAGGAGGGAGGAGGGGTGATGGGTGTCACCCGGCACCCAGGGCCATTCTCCATCCACCAGGAGCGATGCATGGACAGGTTGAACGTCAGGACAAGGTCAGACTCCTGCAGAGGCAGACAGACAGAGGGTGAGTTAAATTACACCCTCAGACGGAGGACAGACGACGCTGAAAGTCAAGAGCTGGTTTCAGCCGTCCAACCTGAATGAGAGTTAAAAATAAATGCAAAATTTAGAATTCCAACGAGGCGGGCTCACTCGGATTAGATCTGAACCACGCAGATAAAAGGCGGACATTAAGAGAGGAAGAAAAGAGAGTAATGAGAAGAGGTCAGAACGATGAAATAGAAAGCGAAACGGAGAGTYGGGGAGCTTGTTTTCAGAGTTTCCCCTTAAAAAGATGTCGAATCTTTCAGCCGCAGAGGAAGACGAGCAGCTTTCTGTYCTGGTCTCATGAAAGGGTCGGCCGCTGAAATGCTGCAGCTTTGGTTTCAGGCGACGCCGTGAAACTTTTGCTCTCCTTGATTTATTTCAGAGGAGAAGCTGAAACACGATGGGAACGAAGAGGCACWTTTCTGTAAATGTGCTGTACTTTTAAAAATATAAACGCCAACTTAACGTGACCCAGACCCAATTACCCCGATAAACACTAGGAGGTTTACCATGAATTTAATTTTTCTTACATGAACTTTTAACCCTTTGCCATTTGGCTTTAATTAGCTGCCCTTTACACCAAATATACATTATTACTCCACATTTAGAATGCGAAGTGACCAGTTTAGCTGCTCTTTTTGCTTACAGTCAAATTAATTTTATTACATCAAAGCAGAGTGCTTGCTTACCCTCCCATTCTTTCTTGTTTTTATTCTAAAAGCTTTAAAGACGGACAATCAATCAGTTATGACTGGTTTAAATAATGCACATATTAACAACTCCATTTAGTAAAAAGAGACATATATTATTCCAGAGGCAGTCATGCTGACACCACAAACATACATCACACTGGCTCAGGCTTTGTCATGAGCTAAAACAAAGGCCTCGACGCTCTTTAAGTGATWGCTGAAAGCAAAATGATGTACTATAATAGTAAAACAGTCATTTTGTCTTGCATCTTATGTTACTGAAATGTGGGAAAAACATTAYAGTCTGAAGAAAATTGCCATAAACGTAAGCAAGTTGTAATTTTCATAAAGTCATTCAGTCTAAAGCTATCTCTAAATCTCTAAATTTTAATTCAAACAGAGAACCGGCTCTTGATCCATAACCAACATTTTGTTTCTACTCTCTAAATCTGTTTCATCTTCTAACTCAAACACACTTGACTCTTTCACCTCCCCACAGAAACCTCTTTATTTGCCCCCGTTCTCTTTTTCTGTTAATTTACACTGCAGTCTATCTTTCTTCTCATCCCCCTCCTGTCTTTTTTCTTCTATGGCCTCTCTCTATTTCAGCATAATGAGTAAATGCCTCATTAGCACAGGGCTCTGATTAATGCCATCTCCCCTTGTTGTGCTCCTCTTTTTAACGAGTGAAATCTCTCCAAATTTCTTTCTTCATCATCACTCTCCTTCAGTCTGTCGCTGTATTGCTTCATATCTTCTCTTTATTTTACGTTGTTCTTTTTCTCGCAACTCTTCCACTTCTGGCTTTTGTTTCTTTTTTTTCTGGTTTTCACTCTCTTTTTTTTTCACCCTCAATTCGCTTAAATAGGTGCTGTGGAAAGGAGTGGTAATTATTTCACTAAGGTATCATCCATCAGTGCTTCTCTAATGAGCCTCTTTAAAGACCACACACACGCAGGCAAACCAATGTAATCCACTGTTAAAAGCTGAATTTGGGAAAATGCCATTAGTATCAGGCAGGATGCAGTGCTGCTAATTCTGCTCTCCTCCGTTTGAGAGGGCACTGAAAATGGGATTAGGAAGAATAATCTACCAGAATTCGCCCGAGCCTCTCTGCTGTTCACCGCAGTAGACCCAATGTGGGCTACGAAAAAGAACTTCAACCAAATGGAGGCAAACCTGTGATCCGCAGGTCACCAGTTCGAATCCACTGAAAATGTGGGTGAGAAAGCACCCACACCTGCTTCCACCCTCATTTGCCCCACTTTGGGACTTGGGTCAAACCCCCTCAGCTTCTCCCTCAGGTGCCCAGGATAGCGGTCAAAAGTATAGTTGTTACTGAGGTAAGATACACTATTACCTTGTAAAAACTGTATTGAGAGAGGCAGAAAATTTCTAAGCCAGCCTTAAAGGTTGTTGTTCAGTAGCATTTGTGTTTGAGCTCAATTTTGCCATTTTATTATATGTTTATTTCAGAAACATTTCTATCTTTAATATTTACAGATGATGTAGTACTGTTGGCGTCATTATGCCGTGATCTTCAGCTCGAACTGGAGCAGTTCGCAGTTGAGTGTAATGTGGCTGGGATGAGAATCAGCTCCTCCTAATGTAAGTCCACAGTCCTCAGTCAAAAAAGGGTGGATTGTTTTCTCCGGGTTAGGCCTGAGGTTCTGCCTCAAATTGAAGAGTTCAAGTATCTTAGGGTTTTCTTCACAAGTGGTGCAAGATTGATCGATGAATCGGTGTGGCTTCTGCAGTACTGCGGACTCTGTACCGGTCTGTTGTGGTTCAGAGGGAGCTGAGCTGTAAGGCAGAGCTCTCTGTTTACAGGTCTGTGTTCCACTCATATGGTCACAAACTTTGGGTAGTGACTGAAAGAACAAGTTCATGGATACAGGTGACTGAAATTAGTTTTTTTCCCCCACAGGGTAACTCGACTCTCACTTAGAGTGAGTTCAGTTCTCCAGGAGAGACTCAGAATAGAGCCGCTGCTCCTCCACATCGAGAGGAGCCAGCTGAGGTGGTTCAGGCATCTGGTAAGGATGCCTCCTGGACGTCTCCCCAGGGAGGTGCTTCAGGCATGTTCGACTGGGAGGAGAMCCAAAGGAAGACTAAGAACACGCTGGAGAGACTATGACTGTGTTTCCGTCCAATTTTAATTCAAATTTTGAGCGAATTTTTAAAATTTCGCAAAGAGGAAAAAAAGTTAGAAATGCGAATGAGATGTGTTTCCATCAACTGGCTTGAAGCAAATCGATTATGTTGGACGCATGCGTGTAGTAAACAGGAAGTAAAAGTCGCATCTCAGGAAAATGGAGAGAAGTTATCAGGAACATGTTGCTACTGGTGGGAAAGTTGTACTTATTCTGTCATATCAACTAGTTCTGGCGATTTTACATGCTGTCTGGAGACGTAGAAAAAAATGCAATTCTCTTCACGTTAAGGGAATAACTGAGAAGACGCCGACAGCGGGAGGAGGGTCCTGCCGCAGTTGCTCTGGTACTGGTCCGGTACCATTCAGACAGTCAGAACAGCTGATCAACAWGTGAGATAAATGTTCGCTACATCAGAACTTATTCGACAAATGTGTTTCCTTCTGTCCTTTTGCGCATTAACTCTTTTTCGAGAAACCCAAAAATCACCTCAAGCGAGCGTATCAACTTTGATGCAAATTAGAGGAAGTTTTTTCGAATGAAGCCGTTTCCATCCACCTTTTCTGATGCGACACTTCGAAATGCGCATTAAAAAACCTTGATAGAAACATGGCCTATGTCTCTTGTTTGGCCTAGGATTGCCTTGCTATCCTCCCAGAAGAGCTGGAAGAACTGGCTGGGAAAAGAGAGGTCAAAAAGAGCTATAAAAGCACTTTCCACAGTGCGTGTGGATGAGCGTCTCTGTGGTTACAAGATTTCTACAAGACAAGAGGAAAATAACAACCCCACATAATCAACACCGTCACAGATAGACATTAAAGACATAGCTTATTGTTACATATCCCCAAATACTCCTAATACTGAAAAATGTTGTGTACATAGATTTAAAGACAAAGCTGGAATTACTYCTTATTTAATAGTGGAATACGAACAAATTAAATTGCAGCTGTGTCCTGGCAGTGATATATTGATTGCATTTGGTGGAATTTATATAGCAATGCGGCACTTAACCCACTAAGAAGATGAATCCATAGCTTGAAATAAAATCTTGAGGTACTATGCTGGTGATAAATGAGTTGTTTAGTYTGTAACTTTGTCTTCTGGTAATATTTCTGCCTGTGCGTGAGTTTCTTAMTAAACACCTTCACTGACTGTTCTCCAAACATCATTTCCTTTTCACACTCAATAACTACACACTGTCCATAACTTCCTGTGCGTTAGGATCACGCTCTTATGCTCTCAGGTCTTTGTCTCCGACTGTGGGCTGGAGCCACTTCAATGAGYCACATCTGTTTTCCCCCTGCCTTCCTCTTCACCTCTCCTCTCTTCATGCCTCCGGCCCCTCTCCCTGCCCATCTCCTGCTCTCTCTCAATTTCCCCTCAATTTCCCACCTCCGTATTTTCTTTTGTCTTCCGCTCCCAGGAGGTAAAAGAATGAAGAGGGGGGAAAAAGACCTTTCAGAAAGGTCTATTATCTGATTGCCTTATAGTCAACAAGGGAAAAGTGWGGCCACTTTAACGATACCTGGAACCACAAAGTCTACTTAAACAATTAAAATAATAACAAATAACACACGTAGAAAAAAATATTTTTTGTCTTTGCATTTCTAGGTAAAAACAGAAGCAGCATCGTCAAAAACATATGATTGTAAAGAACTGTTTCTTGCTAGTTTGATTACAGTATTTTGATTTTAATTAAGTTTATTTTATGATTCCTGTTTATGAGGCCTACTAACTCATGTTTTAAATGTTTCTCTGCTCTAACATACCTGATTTGAATGAATGGTTGMTTAACAGGCTTCTGCAGAACTAGTCAATCACTGAATCAGTTGGAGCAAGGCAACAAGTAAAACATGCAGAATAGCTGCCCTTGAAGACCAGGATAGCACACCCCTCATTTAGTCCTGTCTTACATCCCACTCTCAYGTGTTCCCAGTCACTTCGCTCAGCTGGTCATCACTTCCGCGTTAATCTCCTTTATTTTCCTGAGGTTATCCCTCCACCAGCAGSCTGGCATTACTAGTCTTCAAACCACTCTACGGTTCTTTGGAGTTTCTTCTATGCGACCACAAGTCCTGTGAGTTTTTGTAGACTTGCTGCCTGTGTTTTAAA